CTGGCCAAGGCTCCCTTGGGATGCTGGCCGGAGGGGGCTTTGAGCCACAATAGTGCAACCGCCTCTTCAGAGAGCTAGGTTGGATCGTAAGGGCCGGACAGGAAGAATAGCCACGGCATCCCTGGCCAAGGCTCCCTTGGGATGCTGGCCGGAGGGGGCTTTGAGCCACAATAGTGCAACCGCCTCTTCAGAGAGCTAGGTTGGATCGTAAGGGCCGGACAGGAAGAATAGCCACGGCATCCCAGCTGGGCCTCTTGTGTACTGCCCCTTCCTGCTCCCCGTGGTGCATGGGGGCAGCGGGGAGTCCTTGCAGCCTCTCCACCCCAGAGGGATCACCGTCACACTAGTGGCTTCCCTCCAACGACATTAAGAGAGACAGGATGCTGACTCGCTAGAAGCGCTCGCCGTGGCTAGGACGCGAGAGGCCCTGCTGGGAGGTGAGGCGGGGGGGCCCCTCCGCACCTCAGTTCTCCATCTGTATAATGGGATTAAGTACAATGGCCTAATCCCCACACGTGCTGGCAGGATACGTGCGCCCCAGCCCCTGAGACATGCAGCGAGGGTGGCAACGGCAGCCCATACACGTCTCCTAGTGTGATCATTTCCCTGCCAGGATGCGCCCCACGGGAGAGGACCAGAACCAGGGTCCATGGTGCAGTCTGAAGCCTGGAGTCCCCTGTCATTCCTGGGAACAGCAGAGAGAAATTCTCCCAGAATTTCAAAGGGATGCTAACCAGGCGCCTCAATTCGGTCGGCCCCTTCAGTTCCCACTGCCGTGTTTGAAAGTGGCGCCAGACGGCTCTGGATTGCCCCTTTCCGTTAGCCATGTGAATGCTGTCGGTACATCTACAGTCATGGCCGCCACTGGCCCTGATCAGCGACTGAGGCTCAGGGCTCAGGTAGTGGGGCTCAAAATCCTCGTGCGTATCTTCTGGCTTGGGCTAGAGTCCAGGGTCTCCTGCTTGTAGGTCCTGGAGAGACTGAGCCAGATTTCTAGCCCCACAGCTGAGCCTGAACCAGCCTACCTGGCCCAGACACCAATTTTTCTATCCCAGGTTAGATGTAGCCTTGGCGGATAAACAGCCCATTTTTCAGGCCTTTCACCACCACGCCCAGAGGCAGCGGCTCTGTCTTCCCAGACCCCACTGGCCCACAGGGGCTGCGTTGCGGCTAGGCCGAGGGAGCGGGAGGGAGAGGGACAGGCAAGCGCCGACTCCCTCGGCTTTTCCTGTCTTCAGGGGAGCGACTAGCACAAAAGCCAAGCGGGCTCTGCCCTGCATCTTCTGCACCTCCAAGACGTCCGCAGCTGCCAAGTGTCAGGCAGCAGGTTGCAGCGGGGGCTGGGAGGCAGCAAGCACAGGCAGGATGTGGGTAACCAGCTTCCCGGAGGCACGAGACAGCACTCGGCTTCCCGCCCGGCCTGTCGGAGCCTGCCTCCCTTGCGGTTCTCCGCTGTCGCCCCGTCGCCTCAGGAACCGGCATGCTGACAGCCTG